CGGGATTTTATTTTTAAAACCTAAATGAGTTTTATGTCGATTTAAAATCACCTTTTATCTCTATGGGTACAAATACAAAGTACCGGGTCTCTATACAAAAAGGGGTACAAATACAAAGTGCCGGGTCTCTATACAAAGCTATTATGATATTAAAACTACACTTCCTCTAAAATTGTTAGACTTCAACTATAGTCGCTGAGCGTATATGTTGAGTCATATAAGAATTTAGTCTTGATTGGCCTAGAATTGGTGGTGCCCGCCTCATCTCCTGTTCCTCGTTGGGTTGTGGACCTAGGGCAGACCCACTATATTCAACGTTTTATCTAAGTTAAGCCTTATATAACTTTATATGTTGGACGATTATAGAGGAACTCTACGGATTACTCTAGGGTTCATTACAGCATCATGTAGGATTATTTCTATTCATACTTAACTAAGAAAATATTGGATTTTCTGGAAATCAAACTAAATCGATTTTACAAGGAAAAACGGTTTCTACTTCAAACAAAACTCTTATGAACTCACCAACCTTTGTGTTGACACTCTTTTAAAACTACTTGTATTCTCAGGAAATCAGTGAAACAGGAAAACTTCATCGCTTTGAGGATGGGACGCTAAACCGTCAACAAATTATTTTGTCATCATAATGTAATTGCTTTTGAAACATGTAAACATATACTTTGGTGTAACTTTTGCAATTATATATATGGTGGTTGTTTTTACTTTGAGCACTATTATACACGTTGTTGTGATACTATACATGAAGTCCTCCACCCCCAGACGTTTCCGCCATCCTTGGTTTGGGGGTGTGACAGGGACTAAGTTGATGTGTTCAATTGTAGTCTGTTATCAGTCGTCATGAATCGGAAGTCGAGAAATAGTATAGAGAGAATGATTGAAATTCATGTCTTTTGTCTATACGATATCTTGAGAATGGAGGAATATATAATCCCTTATCTAGAAGGACACGCTATCTAATAAGATCAGAGTTGACAACGGCTTTTGAAAGCTACGATTGCTGATCAGGTTCTGAAGTCATACGGAAAATAGTTATTAGACTTATCCAAGTGGGAGACTGTTGGATTAGTGTCTAAGTCCATAACTGTTTTGGTATGTACTTAACCCGATTATGAGCATGGTCCTTTTGGGTTGCCTTCACCATAGCAATATATAGGATGATTTAAGGAGAGAAAGGTTTAAATATGATTTATTATTATATTATGAGAATAATATATTAAAGGAGAAATCATATTGTTTAATTAATATTGGTCAAGAATTAATTAAGAATTAATTTTGTGGTTAAAAGAGATTAATTAAACTTAGGGGACTGAAGTTGTAATTATAAGATAATTATAATTGGGCTATGGATCACCTAATAATATATAGGTTGAACGAATTCTATGGGAAGCCCATTAGAAATCGTCCAAGGGATATGTTTAAGGAGTCCATGGGCTGCTTAGGGCCTAAGCAGTCAGATTAGGGTTTCCTAGTTGTAAACCCCAATAGCCTACATGTAGAAAAGGGACCCTTAAGCCCCAAAAACGTGAACAACACTTCCATTAGGGTCTCCAGCCGTTTTTGGTGCCTCCTTTTCTTCTCCTCTTCATCCAAGTTGCATATGGTGTTTGTGACTCCATTAGAGGTACTACACTTGTGGTACTTGCTTTCAAGAGCTAAGGAAATTCAAGGAACTAGTTGTTATTGCTATATAACAACAAAAGGTATGTATTCTAGCTTTATATATGAATTTCGAAAATTATAGTAGCATGCCAGGTTTCTTTTTGTGTTCATAAAGCTGTATAACTAATAGTGAAAACATAGATCCAATACTAGGGTTGCATGCACACACAGGATTGTTTGTATTAAACCCAACATGAACGGCAATAAAATTGATTATTTTTTGCGTTTTCCGAATTGAAGCACAAAATTTATACCACATGTTAAGGGGGAGTTTTGACATGAAAAATTCTAAATAAAGCACGTTCTTTTTCCTTGGAGTTTTATAATCAAATTTCGATTATAAAAAGGGGGAGAAGTTTTATATGGAAATTCGAACTTGAATTTTTCATATTACGCAGATTTGAAGACCGAAGTGATCTTGGAGTTTTGAAGCTACGAGATGATCCAATTGGATGTTCGGAAGTGATGTGTTCGAAATGGGTTTGGATTTATTGAAGATTTTTGGGGTGTGTTTTTATGCGCAACTTTGGGGTGATTATTTGGAGTTTGGAATACTCTTGATCATTCGTTGCTGCTCGGATTGTATGGTCTCACATCCTAGAGCCCAAATTGAAGAGTCATGGAAGAATTGAAGATTGAAGTTCGTTTCGACATGTGTCACCTTTGAGGCTCGAACCGCGTAGTGCTTGATTTTGGAAGATTTGAAGTGGGTCATTCATTCCTAACTTTGGGGGAGAGAATGTTGGGGTTGCAAAGTTATTCATTCATGACTTTGTAAATGTTTGACTTTTGTAAAACCCACTTGCATGTGGTGCTTTAGCCTTTAGAACCATTTGTTAGTTAGAGTGTGAGAGAGACATGTAAACACCTCTATAAATAGTGGGTTCATACCACTTGTAGAGGTGTGCTTGAGAGATGTAGAAGTGAGTGTGTAAGTGTGTGTTAATTATGTAGTCTAGATGTGTAACACCATATACATTCAATATATCTCTTAAACACCCAAATTACCATGTTCAATTGTGCAAGCTTTAATTCCGCATGTCAAACCATGTTCTTTTGTCACTACAGGTTGAGCGGTTCTTGGTTCAACTAGTTGAACTAAATGGTTTGGTATGGTTTTCAAAACCATGGTTATTGATGATGGATTGAATGATATTGTATTTGAGGTCAATATTTTGTATCGAATGATGTATATGAGACTCTGGTATTCAATCACTTAAAAATCAGGTTAGTACTAAATGACAATCTTCCTAAAACAAATATTCGGTCACTGAAAAAACATATTAAATACTAAATGAGATAGTATCAAAGATTTATATTTAGTCCCTGAGTGATAGCATGGGGCCTAGAAGGAAAGATATTGGAGACTGAAAATTATAGTATCAACGGCTAATATTTAGACTTTGAAAGATATTATCAGGGACTGATACAACATAAAATAAAGATTTCAATGAAACATAATGGAGACTGAATGATATATTATAAATGAATGATATTTAGTCCTTAAAAGATAGTATCAGGGACTGATATGACATCAAATCGGGGATTTGAGGAAAACAAAATAGACATTGAATGAGATATTATCATAGACTATTTTTTTTGTCTCTGATACTTTGATGTATTTAGAACTTATTTTTAGTCCTATATACTCAAAAAAATTGACTATATAAGACTAGGGCTCAAGGACTAGCTGGGGACTAGGAAAATCAGTCCCCGATTCTCATCAAAGACTGATTATGTCAGTCTCTGATACCCCTTTTTCTTGTAGTGTGTCAAATGAGAGATCACACAAATTTTGTGATAAGAGTGTACACTTAAAAAAAGCTCCAAGCGAGCCCATCGATTTTCTTTCTCTATACTATAGAGATGTTTCATTGTATGTATTTTCCATTAAGGATTTTGATTGACCTTCCCTACTTACTCACCTGAAGGAGTTGTTATGGGTTGTAGTTTATGGTTCAGATAACAATCGGATGAAAAAATCTATGGATAGTGACAAGATCAACTCAGACCATGTTGACCGATCTTGTCAGGTTTTGTGACTCCGACCAATCTTTTTATTTTTATTATAGTTCATCCCAAGTTCAAGCTTGGTGATTTGATAGTTTCATTTTATTTACTTCTTTTTATAGTTTATTTTAGCATATTTCTTTCATACTTTAGTTAATCGTCATGTATATTTTCCTTTTTGTCATTTCTATCTATAACGGGTACTTCTAGTTTTTGAGCTTTATTGCAGGTATTTAGAGAAATGGAGCAGAGCGTGGATGGATATTCAAAAGACAAACGGAGTTTGAATAGATGATCTGGATTGTCGGGGCTTATCAAAGAGATTTGGATTGAAGATTAATGTCATTGGAGCTTACTTTTAAGACTATATGGAAGACACTTGGGCTTGGTGGATTAGAAGATGGAATCACAAGGGCTAATGAATTAATGCATCTTTGGATGATTTTTGGGTTATGAAACTCTTGGGCTTTTATCTACTTTTTTGATATGGTATTGCATTTGAGGTTCTAAGATCAGTCAAAAAAGTCAAAGCTAGAAGACGAAGAAGACCAAATAGGAAATGGAGACAATCAGCACACCTCACGAGGTTGCCTGAGAATAGACATTGCAACTCACACGGCTACGTGGCTCCTGCAGGGGCAGTTTTAGATTTTTCATATTTAGTTACTATTTGAGGGTAGTTTGCCTGGGAATTTTGGGGCATTCTTATATCAGATTTTTAGGACTTTTATATGTACTTTTGGAGCTCTAGAAGGTAGGAAGAACTTGAAGAACATATCATATTTTCATCTAGATTCTTTGGTGAATGTTTGGTATTTTAAAACTCTTATCATTTTTTTTAAACTTTGCCATGTTAGGCTAAGTTAATCTTGGTTGACTTTGGCTGAACTCCTTGAATGTTTGGATGATGTTGAAGAACTCTATGAACATGTTCTTGAATCTTTATGAAAGTGTTTTCCATTTTAACATCTTCTTTCTACTTATATGTCTTTATTCATGAATTTAGATGTATACGTAGTGGTTAGTTGACTAATTTCTTAATTAAGTAATGAATCTTCAAATTAGCAAGCAACAAATTATTTGTGTGTTAGTTTCACTTCACACAATCATAAAAATATTTTCTCCAACATGGTAGAGAAATCATTTGACTCCCCTTGGACTTGGTGACTTTTGGTTATTAATGCTAGTTAACTTTCACTAATTACATGTTTAATGGAAATTGTGACTTTAACTAATGACATATGTTATGAGCTTCTCTAGCTATTTTAATAACTAAGCGAAGTCTAGGTAATCTCAAACTTCTTGGATTCCTATAGCCAAATTAGAGATTTATGACAAGTATGCACCTTGGATTCTAGTGATTTATTAACCAAATGTTTAAGTGATACAACATAATTCATTTATAATTAAAATACATCGGAATATTTATAGAAAGACTTAACTAACAACATGCGAGATATATGAATTTATTGTCATAGACACGCATATACTAAGCTCTTTTGGCATCAATTATAGATATCGTTGTAGATATTCATCCATACGAGTGTATCTCACTTCTGAATAAAGATTAGAAGCTTCTTCTCCATGTTCTCCGATTTCAAAGTTCATCAAACAACCATCATAGAAAATTTGATATATACGTTCAAATCCTGCTTTATAAGCATGGTCCAAATCTACAAAATATATTTCAACACAAAAAAACATCATTTTTTGTTGAGTTTTAAATTTTTTAAAATATATATATATACCCATAACAAAATATACCCAAACAATATTATAGTTGTTGAAAAATAAGATAATAGTTCCTGGCATAAACTAAACCACGAAATAAACAGATTTGGATCTAGAAAATATATTAACACAAATTAATAAATGAATGTCTCATATATAATATGTTCATGTTAAACTAAGAGCACACTGGATTTTGTTATATATATATATATATATATATATATATATATATATATATATATATATATATATATATATATATATATATATATATATATTATAAAGTTTGATAGAGAAAAAAAATGTTGCGAATGACAGAATCAATCAATCTCAGCCATATATTTATTTTGTTACAAAAACCCTCCTCGTATTGGCGGAAATGGGGAATGAATACATGTGTGTTTTTCAAAGGTGTAATACGTTAATACACATGTGTTTTTCAAAGTTGTAATACGTTTTTCTAACTATGTTAATCATTACCTTAATATATGCAAATAACTTTTTTTTTTGTTTTTTTACTTTTAATAAGCTATTTTTATCAAACACCGATTTTTAATATATCAAAATTCATAATTTTTTATTTTATCTATAAATAGACATTCATATTAATATAATTTCAATATTATATATATATATATATATATATATATATATATATATATATATATATATATATATATATATATATATATATATATATAGTTTCAGCTTCCGTTATTTGTTATTGAATAACGAATATATCCTGTAATAAAATCTGATTCACTTTTATTCACTTATGAGTAACGGGAACTGAAACTATAAAAAAAAAAACTTTTATTTTATTTTAAAATTATATCAATATGAATGTCTGTTTATAATGAATAAAAAATTATGAATTTTGATGCAGTTAAAATCGTTTTTCAATAAAAATAGTTCCTTAAAAATTATTTAAAAAAAAAAACTATTTTTTTATATATATGTTAAAGTAATGATTTAACATTTTTTAAGAAAATATGTTTCTTTTTCTTCCGGTAAAACCAAGTGTTTTGCGTCATCCCATACGCTAGTTATTAATTATTATGTGTTTAGAGTGTTTTTGTTTTTAAAGATGGTTGATTTGGCATCCCATTTAACCGGTTAACCCACTTGACTTGAAATCTAACTTGACCAACTCAATGTGGTAAGATGTATGAGTTTAGGACTAGTCATAGTTAATCAAGTTTTGTTTGAGTTGGAATGTGAAGTTTAATTGTATCGAATATATATGATTTATTTTAGAAAATATATTCCATTAAACCCTAAAAAAATGATAAATTTATATGAAAAAATAAAATATTAATTTCTATATTTAGCGGATGTATACTAACCTTTCATGGAAGCAAGGAAATCTTGAGCGGAAATGTGTACTTTTTGCAGTGTTTTGTCGGTGAGTTTCTCCCATTTCTCAACCAACTGGTTGTGCGTAAGGATGTTTTCATGTGGTCGAAGATACAACGTCTTGTTCAACGTACGAGGATCGTCTACACTCTTAACCGTGTACGTTGCAACATCATCTTCATCCATAAAAACAACTGCATTTTAAACAAGTTAATCAAAACACAAATAACAAAAACCATATATATATATATATATATATATATATATATATATATATATATATATATATATATATATATATATATATATATATATATATATATCTCCTTACAATATACAAATCGACATAAATCATAATTCATATCACACCTTTTTGATTTCCATCACCATAGATAGACACTCGGTTCTTTGGTGGGACAAGGGTGTTTGTTTGGGAGAGGTTGCCAACAAAGTAACCCCCCAAACAATTTGCAGAAATATATGTATATGGTATTTTAGCATCTTCTATGGCTTTTCGTACTATCATCTTGTCTTCAAACGTCTCCTTTCCATATTCAACCCTATGCTCCATTCGTGAAGGGTCCATTCCAAACTCCGATGGCAAAAACCGCTGTTTCAATATCATATATTTATCAAACTATATATACATGACTTTAAAAGTCAAGAGAATGAAGTGATGATTAGATAAATATTCTGCACAAACCTTGATGTTCCCAGCTTCATTAATGGCGTCAACAAGCTTAAGCTGAAGAAGAATGTTATGTGAACGGAATTGCACTCCTGACATGGTGCATATCACGACATCAACTTCTTTAACGGCGTTCACGAGAGACTGATGATCGGAGAATGAACCTTCAACTAATTGAGCTCCTTGTTGCTTAAATGATAACAACGTCTGAAGCTTTTCAACTTCGTAACCTATTTCTCGACGCATAAGGACAAAAGTCGGGTGACCTTGAGCCAAACTAGCCTTCACAATCCTCTTACCGATGTACCCTGTGCCACCCACGACCAGAATCTTACTCTTCGACATTTTCAAGGTTTTTAGTTTTGGAGAGGTTAATGAAATGTCGTTGGTTTACTTTTTGTGATGTTAAAGAGACGATATCGCACATTTATAGAGAGAGAAGATAAGCTAAAGCTAGGATGGTGTATGCTGATGTCATCGTACTCACGTGCATCGAAATGGTTATTTGGAGTAATAATGATAATTAAAAATAATATAATAGAAAAGGAGTTTTGAGAATTAAAAAGTATTTAAGATCCTCCTTTCTGATCAGCCTGATTCTTGGATTTGGAAAGGAGATGAGTCCAAAACCGTTCTCTTTGTAATCTTTGAGAATGATTATGACGAAGGCTGAAATAGAGGTTGGTTATATTAAAATTTTATGGGTTAGTTGTGTTCCTGATCAAAATCAATTGTTTTTCATGGAGACTTTTTCGGATAAGTGACTTGTTGCTTACAATCTTACTAAAAAAAAGGTGTGAACTTGAACTTGGAATTGGTTTTTCACACTTGTTGTCTGGAATTGGTTGCAAAAATGATCTGGGTTGTTTACTTTCTATTATGTTATTTTTCAAATATAAATTATTTTATTCTTTCATAGTTCTTGGAGTTTTTTTTATAATATAGTAATTCGTTTCGTAAACTGATCGAATACTAAAAGAAAATATTAAATTGAATTAATCGAAATTATATTTTAGATTGTTTGTCAAGTTTGGACTTCGGGTGTTCTAGAATTTTGTGTTTCAATGCCCACGATTCCAAGCATCGTTCAATAACAATTTTTAAAGTTTATGTGATAATTGCCATTCCTTTCCATTCATGCATGTTATGGTAATTAATTCTATTATGTTTACGCGAGCAATTAAGGGATGTTTGGATAGGAAAAAAAGAGGTGTTTATTGCTTATTCTCACAATAAGCTAATTTAAGTGTTTGGATAAAATCCAGCTTATTATGCTAAATAAGTTAATTTTAATAAACATTCCCCCATGCTTATTGCTTATTCCCACCACAAATAAGCTATAAGCAATAAGCTAAAAATCTAATCCAAACACCCCTTATTGAGATCATATTTTGACAGCATAACAAAATGACAGGATCACCCACACGTGATTTACCACAATACACATTGGAAAATTTATAATAGTACTAAAAATTTCTCAAAAGTTTTACATCATGCTGGAACAAATAGGGTCTACCCATGATACCAAGTATACAAAGAAAGAAAACTACAAATCCTTTGGATGGTGTATCTTATTAATTCGGATGTTCTTTAGAAAGTTCAAATAATATTGATATGAACTATTATGGTAAATATTGATACTTATATGAAACTAGGGTTTGCACCGTCCGTGCGATGCTGCGGAAGCCCAATATGTTAAAAAACGCAGCACGAAAACATTTATTTATGGAGGATGAGGAAGAAAATAAGACTTAAAATTGTAACCTAAAGAAATTATTAAAAAAAGATTATTAAAAAATTATGTAAGAAACCAAAAAATTAAGTTTAAAATATAGTAAGAGGTCAAATCATAATGTATAAATACAAATAATTTAACATTACAATTATGAATGTGAAAACTATTATATTAAAATTAATTAACGGGAAAAAAGTGTAAATATAAAAATCTTCTATGACCTGAACCTATTATGCCACCTCGGCTAAAAACACACTTTCAAAGTGAACAATAAAAGTATAAAATAAAATTTCGATGGAAATAATTATATATGAAGGGCGCTGGTAAAAATAAATTTGATATTGTATCTTGATCGACACACTACACAAATGATAATTATTTAAAAAATTATAATGATAAAAAACAATAGTAGTAAAAAAGAAAACTATAAAAACAAATATATAAGAAAGTAAAACCATAACTTTTAAAATATATTAAAGACCAAAATTAAAACTGATATCGATAATTTAATTTTTAAAGTTATAAAGATAATTTGTTACATCAATATTAAATGAAGGGTACAAACAGGAAAATAAAAAAAGAATTGAAAGTTAAAATAGATAGGAATCCCTTGAAAAGACCAAGAGAAAAAGCTTTATAATAAACATATCTTTCCCAAACAAACATATAGCATAATGGCACACCCAAAAACTATATGATTACCCTGTTTGACATGACTAGTTGACCATTAGATATTATTTTTAAATTTATTTCAATAAAAAGAATGTATTATATTATATATTTATAATCTCCGCTTTAGTTAATTATTTATTTACAGTTCCACTCCTTAATTTATTATAACAATTTATTATAATTGTAACCAATGTTCTAAATAACGTAAAACGTAGTTTGGCGGTAAGGTAAAACTTAAATCTTGGCGAGCTATGATGTTTTTCAAGGCGTAATTATATTATATACATTAAAATATATAAATCATATAATTATTGAATTTTGTTAAATATATGAAATTTTTAGAAGTGTTATGTTAATATCTAAAAGAAAAAAAGTTAATAAAAACTTATTTATTTTAGGCCCGATAAAAAAAAAACTCCGCGCCTTGAAAAAACTCGCACCATAACGCAATAAGGCGCGCCTTGACACGGTTTTTGGACGTCACGCTTCACAAACCCACTTTTGACGTTTTTGTAATGGCTATACCACGCTTCGCGTCATGGCTCACCTTGAGGAGCGTCATGGCGCACTTTTTAGAACCACGATTGTAACTATAAATAATATTTATGACTTATTTATTGGTTTTTTATTTTATTACATATTGTAATCTATTCTAATAAATGAAAGTTTTTTTTTTATCATATGTTACACTCTTATTCAATTTGTCAAATGTCATTTTGTAGTAATTTTGAATTAATTTATTTTTCACAAGTTATTTTATGAGTTTTTATATTTTAATAAATTCCATATAATACTTTAATATAATAATTACAATAAAAATATTAATAAATGAATATCAATTTCATTAATTAATACGTGTAATACATTGGTCTTACACCTAATATTTTATAATTTTAAGTGTAGAACGATGAATAAAAAATATTATAAAAGTAATAAAGAGATTAAAATATATAAATAATACTTTAACCCACCAACCCTTCAACCAATGAACCATAATATAACCCACGAACCCGTATAATAAAACGGGTTAAACGAGTTGTGTCAAGGAAGGTTAATGTTACCAAACCGCCAACCAAAATTCGATACGATTGTCACCCTTATTATAAATGATGTAAGGCATGACGTTTCGATAAGGTAAAAAAAACAAAACAAAAAAATATCCCATGAAAAAACTCAATTATTTAATTCCTAGTGAAAAAATCAAACAAAAAACAAAATAAAAAATGCTACTTGAAAAAAACTCACATCATAACGTGATAAGGCATATACTGACACATTAAATTTGGTGTTTTTTTTTACCAATTAAACCGAATGTAATTTTGAATTTTTTAAAATTGATGTTTGGCCAAAAATTTCAAAACCAAAACCACCACGGGGCATAGTCTCGTTGTTTAGAAGCTTTGCAGTCTAATAGTAGCAAAAAGTGGTTTTTTTATGTGCACACACACATGCATATATATATATATATATATATATATATACACACACGCACATATATATATATATATATATATATATATATATATATATATATATATATATATATATATATATATATATATATATATATATATATATTGTATCACCGTAAATTTTCAAACAAATTTTTCATTTTAAAATCATATGAATCTCATTAGCACAATCACAAAAATCCCCAAATTATCAAGTTATCAAAACACATGTTCATAAAGTGTTTAAAACACAATCCAGGATCCTCCAAAACATATCTCCAACCCGTGTGTACAATCAAGTCGATGTTTTCCGTGATCCTGAGAAGTACCTGAAACACATAACACATAACACGGTAAGCACGGAGCTAAGTAAGTTCCCCAAAATACCATACATATCTCATTAATCTCTCATGGCTATGCTCAAATAAGACCCTCCGGTCAATGTATCTCAGTGGGACCCTCCAGTCCCACAACTCGGGCGAACCCTCCGGTCCTAACTCAGTAAGCTCTGAACACTACAAAACATAAATCACAAAGACATAATGCATGATATCACAATACTCAATATAAACACATAAGACCATCTAGTCACATACACAGATTACCACTCTAGGTAAGTATAGTGAGGAAACTCACCTCGTAAGCAAGCAAACAAATAATCTCATACACGAATCTCCGAACTAGCCTCCGCCTAACACATAGGATAATTATCTCTAATTAACACTTAATAACGATTCTAAAAAAAATAAGTTATTTTCTCTCCCAACTCTTGGAATGGGTAAAAGACCATTTTACCCCTCCATGGTCCCCATAATCCCTGTTTGACCCCAGCCCTAAAGGCAACAAAAGTCAACACTCGAGTCAACAGTCCATGTTGACCCGAATTGTCGAGTGCACCTATATGAATCGTTGAGTCACCATTGTTCCTTCAGAAATGTCGTGAAAACCCAACTTAACTCGTTGATTTGTCTCATCAACTCGATGAGTTACCCATGTCCAGACTCACCGGGGAAAACTCTAGCCGACTCGTCGAGTCAGCTCATTGACTCAACTAATCCATTCAGTCTATGTTCTCATTCAGACGTTTTAAGTCAGACCACAAACTCTAGATCTAGCCTCCCAAGGCTCGAATGTCATGTAAAGTTGCGATCTTTTATGTTCATGCATGGAATATTAGGCTCATAATGTAAATACAGACTCCAACAAGGGTTAGATGCACAAAAGCTAGTCTCTAGCTCAATAAAGATCAGATCTTTGGGCTCTCAAGTCCTTCTACAGTCCAGATCTGAGGTTTCAACCTCATGGTATGCTTAAATAGCTCATTGTCTCAAGATAGATGGGAGAAAACCTTAAAAATCCTCCATAAACTAATATCTCACAAAGGAAAGGTCAAGATAGAAGCTTTTTAACTTTGCACTGAAGCCAATAACGTAAGAAGTCCGGATCTACAACGCCTCCTTGATCAAACACGCCAAGCTCTCCAAATCTCCTTCCAAAGATGCACAAAACCACTCAATTTAGTCTCTCTACCTCTCTCTCTCTCTCTCTCTCTCTCTCTCTCTTTCTCTCTCACTCTCTTTCTCT